AGACCAAGGGAAATTCATGCTGTGTAGAGGCAAGCCCCCTGGTCCTGTGGAAGACACCCCGGAGTCAGGGACAATGAGAGCAAAGGCGTGGGGTGGCACCGCAGTGAAGGGACCAGACCAGCCAGTATGGGGTGGAAATGTATCACGCTCCTGCCACCACAGACTCTCTGGGCAGATAAGACCAACACAGGGGGTCACTAGGTGTCAACTCCCATGTGATGGAGTCAATGAGCACTGGTTTTGGAGTCCAACAGACCTGGCTTGGGACCTTAGTTCTGTGTGACCCTGGGTGAGTCACTTCGCCTTTCTTGAGAGTCAGTTGCTTCATCTATAAAATGAGCCGATGATCTGTCCTTTACCCATGAGGGGAAAATTTACAAGAGATGATGCCGACTAAGTGCCCTGCTTGGTGACAGGTATCCAGTAAGCACTCAGTAAGTGCTGCTCTTTGGCCCCTTCCCAGACTCCTGCCAGCTGGCCCACTCACCAGGTCCCTGCCTGGGCCTGTTCCCGAGGTATTTCTACAATGGATCGTCCATGGCCTGTGAGACCTTCCAATATGGCGGCTGCTTGGGCAACGACAACAACTTCATCTCTGAGAAGGAATGTTTGCAGACATGTCGCACCGTGGGTGAGTGTGGCCCCTGCTCTGCGCCTCCATTCCCCCACACCCATCCGTTCTCCCAGAAGACCCCTTGCCAATGAGCAGGGAGCCATGGGAGGGTGTCCAATGGTGGAATTCCAGGGCAAGCCTCCTGAAGCCATAGGATACAGATTTGGGTGGAGATGTCCCTTGGCCAAGGTGGATCTATTTCCTCATCTGTAAAAGAGGGACCACGGGTTCTAGCTGAGCAGGGCCCTGGCTCCGGAGCCCTTGTGTGTCCCAGGTCTCACTGAAGCACCATGCCTCTCTCTACCGACAGCGGCCTGCAACCTCCCCATAGTCCCTGGTCCCTGCAGGGCGTTCAAACAGCTCTGGGCATTTGATGCCGTCCAGGGAAAGTGCGTCCTCTTCAACTATGGGGGTTGCCAAGGCAACGGCAACAAGTTCTACTCAGAGAAGGAGTGCAAGGAGTACTGTGGCGTCCCTGGCGAAGGTAGGAGGCCCTGGGGGGTGCCGGGCTGGACCACCAGGCTGCCAGGGTCCAGGTGTGAGAATCCTGATGGGGGGTGGGTCCCGCAGAGCTGAATTCCTGGTGAGCAGGCCACCACTTTTGAGGCCTCAGATTCCCAAATGTAAAATGAGCCAAACCCAGGGTGCTACCCGTGCCAGGTTCAGGCATGCTCAGAGGCTGCAGCCCGAGGAGCTGGAGAGCTGGGTTCCCATTCTCATGCTGCCACGTTCAGGCTGGCCGCGGGGCGGGGGTGTGTGTGCCAAGGGCGATTTGAGCTTCCATTTTCTCTTGTAAAATGGGACAAAATACCCACCTCCCAGACTTCACAGTACCTGGCAGAATTAGTGCTCAGCTAATGGCAGTTTCTGCTGATAATGACTATTTGGGGACAGGAGCCACATGAGATTTCTGTGCCTTGATTTTCCCATTGCAAAATGGTACGTAAGGCAAATCAACAAAAAAAAATTCACATCATCCTGTGGCATGCCCCGGGCTGTCACTCGGCAAGTGGACGCTTTTGCCCCCACATTCAGGTGGCTTTCCCTCCCCCACCCCCTGGAGGTCCCCACCCTGGAGCCCCTTCCTGAGCCTTTCTGTGTCCACAGGGGATGAGGAGCTACTGCGCTACTCCAACTGATGGCTGGCCAGTCTGCAAACCAGAGAGTGGTCGGCGTCCCCCCCAGGGCAGGACGGGGCAGATGACCCAGGTCCAAATAAAACCAAATGGTGTCTTGCTGGAATTCCCTGTCCTGACTGCACTGCCACCATAAATGGAACAAGATGGAGGAGGTTGGGGAGGGGAAGAAGCCAGGTGGGGCGTGGCCCACCTAGCATCCAGGAAGTCCAAAGTGCATGGGTTGGAAGTGTATCGGAATCCCCTTCAGTCTGTGCAAAGTGTGCAGCCGCGGCCCCCTGCTCCACCATAGTGCAGAAGGGGATTGTTTTGTTTTGCTTTCATGAAACTCTGGGCAGTTGTTTCTGGGAGATGTTGGATGGAGGTCATGAGTGACCCAGGGTCAGAGGAAATACTGGCGCCCTAGTGTGCCCAGGGAGCTGAGGGAGCACAGCACGTGCCTGAACCATTCCCGGTCCCTGACTGACCCGACTCCTCTCTGGCACTTTCCCTCAGCCATCACCCTGTCCCCATCCCCATCCCCAGCTGCCCCGAGCTGGGTGCTGGGGCTGGTCCCCCACTCATTCTGAGCACCTGTCCCCTGGAATCCTCACCCTGGCCCTGGCCTTGGAAGGAGACTATTCCTTGCTTCCTAAGGAAGCCCTTGGGCAGGCTGCCTTCTTGCATGCTTGGGAAGGTGTAGGTGGGCAGCCAGGGCCGCTCCAGGACCAACTGACCAGAAGATACACCTCCAGGACTCTCCACTTACACACTGGATTTATAAACATCGGACTCATGACTGACTCCTGTTAGTGGCACCCTGCAGACAGCCGGCAGGGCTGGGCCCCTCTTCTCTGGGGAGGGACCAGTGTCCTGAGGGCCAGAGGCCAGTTCTGTCAAGGGCTTGCCTCTCATGCTGACTCAGCCCATGTTCTGGAGAGATCAGGAAGGAGGGAGGGAGTTCCACGTCTCTTGTTGAGGGGGTGACCCAGGGGCAAGAGGTGGGTGCAGGAAGCTCTGCAGCCCCTTCAGTCAAAGACCCTCCTCCCAATTCCAGGGCTGTGGCTTCCAGGTTCCGACAGAACTGTCCTGAAGAACAGTGTTTTTGTTCATGACCAGGACTCCCTGGACAGAAGTGGGTGGGTCAGGAGCCAGGGGAGACAGCTGTTCCAAGAGGAATGACCGGGGGCTCCTCAGCCTGACACTGACAAACATGTCATGCCCATCGTGTCCCCACGTGCCTCACACACCGGATCAGCTGCCGATGGGACTTTGAAGGTGCCACTCTGAAGAGGGGGATTTTGAAGTGACCTGAAGGACAAATGCTTAACCAGAGGGTGGACGCTACTGTTGTAGGCTGGCTTCTGCCGGTGGGAGGGACACTGGGCTCACAAGATACTTCTGTGCACTTCTGAAACCACCATTTAAAAACAGCTTCCGTATAAAACCCAGCCTTCTCAATTCTCATGAAAGCAGGTTCTGGCCAACCTGGGCTGCATCCTTAAGCCAAGGGGGCGACAAGATGCCCCTTGGAGGGCCCTCACCTTGGCGTTCACCAGCCCTATCCCTGACCTGCCTGCTCCCTGAGCCATTTCTTTCTGTGTCACTTGCTACCTATTTTCACCAAAATGAAATAAACTCAGGGATCCTGACTCTCCCTCCAGGGTGGGGTGGGGGCGCAGTGTGACCCTGTCACAGAGCTCGGCAGGCTCATCTCACAAGGTACCAGGGATCGTTCCCAGGCAAGTGGCTGCCCCTTCCCTGAAGATGCACTTGATTCTTCCATAGTTTCATCTCCAACTTTTCTTTTAATGGTGCTGCTGACATTCGTTACAAAACAGACGTGGCTGCTCAGTAAAGTAACACAACTTTCTTTTGCCTTTTAAAAGACAATCTTGTAAAACCCAGAGGCTGGCCCGTTGGCTGCAAGGGCTGGGAGCTCCTGGCCACACCCTGGCCCTATTTGACCATGACCTTCAAGAGGCTCCTCTGCAGGCCTCCAGACTCCTTATTTGAGATGCAGAGAAGCTCCTGCTTCCAACTTCCACTGCACGGCTCAGGCATGTCCAGGTCACCTGGCAGGAGGACACCTGTCCCCCAAGGAGGACAGTGGAGAGCAGGGCTGCTGTTCTTTAGGAGGTTGGTCCAGCTTCTGGAGCCTCTCAGCTGTCACAAGGGATTTGACGGGATTTTTTTCAGAGACCCAAGTAACACATCCTCTCAAAGTCCAGTGACCATTCCTGGAGACAGGAAGCAGGGTCCTGTGATTCACTCACCTGGAGAATCAGAAGGCAGCTTTACCCAGCAGCGGGCCCTGCACGGGCCACAGCTGGTCTTCCGGAAGCATCTCTCTCTCTCACTCTTGACTTGCCTTGGGTCTGAGTTACTAAAGAAAAGCACGAATGACTTGGGGCCTGGACAGGTGCCCCCGGGCGGGTCCCCAAGCTCACAGTGAGGGTGCTGAGAAGTGCCCAGGTGCCATGAGGAACTGGGCCAAAACCAGAGACACTCTTCTCCAGGAAACGGACCGTGACACACAACAGTTTCAACACGTCACATGCGCCATGAGGCCTAAGATGCTGGTAAAAGGGGCACAAGAGCCACATGAATGCCCATAGGGTCTGGCACACTCGGGTGTGTGCCTTGGGCATGGGGCCACCTCTTCTCAGCCATGACCCCCACTCATTCATCAGACACTAGCAGAGCTGGTCCAGTGAAGCTCACCAATGACTCACCGATTGACAGCTGGCATGCCCAGCCTCAGTGGCACCCCCGGCATGTCTCAAGTTGCCACCTGGGTCACCTGCCCATGGCCCACCTCCTCACTCAGTCCTTGTTATGGTTTAGACGTGTGAGACACCTGCAAGAAGGTTTGGAGGAGGAAAGACTGGGTGACCGGGGATGGATCCCTGCTGGGATCCCTGGAGTGGCCGGTGTGGCTGGAGGGGTGGGGATTAGGGCGGGGCTTGGGGGGTCTGTCTATGTATGTGGCCAGCGCAGTCTCTGCCTTCTGATCACCACGACCTGAGCTGCTTCCCTCCGCCACACTCTGCTGCCATGATGTCCTGCCTCACCTCCAGCCCAGAGGAATGGAGCCTGCCGTTGACCTCTGAAACTGACCTTGGAAACCGTGAGCTCCCAGATAAACTTCTCCTTCTCTACAGTTGTGCTGGTTGGGTCTTTAAGTCACAGCAGCAAAAAAGCTGAGCAGACCAGTCCTGCTGGATGGCACGGCCCGACCCCCAACCCAAGAGAAAACATCACACAGCGCGTCTTCCTAAAGGTCGTTTTATTGTAAAACCATAAATACAACCGACATGAATTCATTTAAGCAACTGATCCTCTCTAACCATGAAAAGGATGTTTTGCCTTGGTATCAACCACCGGGGAAGAGCGTGGTGAGAATTCAGGGGCGGGGGGGAGGGCGGGGGACTGAATCCTGGGCTGGGGCTTTTGGTGACTTAAAGAACCCGATGGAACCTTCCTCTTCTCCCTGGGAATGTTCCACTTTCGGACGAGAACAGACAGGTAAAAACAGCAACATTTAAACAGCTCAGTTTTAAATTTTATTACTTAGTAAAAATTCTTTTTTTTTTTTTTCCTGTTCCTTTCCTCCATTTGACAATCAGTAAAAGTTTTAAACATCATGAAAACTGATTTGGGCTGTAAATGGAGAAACGGTACCAAAACAAAGTGAAAAGAAAAACCCAAAGGACACACAGAAAATCCTAAATAAACCCTCAAGATTGGCCTCGGGGGTTCACATATCACAAGAACCTCAACTCAACCCCCATGCAATGACTCCTCGGAGAAGCGCCGAATGTACATCAACGACACAGGAGACCGCCAACAACGCCTTTTGTTAATCAACACAGCAAGTGTGACACTAGGTATTTTTTTTTTAAATACAGTACATGGTACACAGGGTCCCCAAGATGGCCCTGCATAAACCCCCGTGAAGACTTGAGCCAAGCACTGGCTGTTTATAAAAATATTGTGTTGCTACAAAAGTATAAATTAATGCTACCGGTATTAAGAAATATTAAACACATAAAACTTATAAGGATTAAGAAAAATATTCATTAATACCTGTAGAAAACTCTGGCCTAAAAAAGATATTTTTTTTTTGTTTGTTTTTTTGTAAATTTTTTTTGTTTTTTTTTTCTTTTTTTTCTTTTTTTTTTTTTTTTAAGATGATTTGAGTTTCTTGCACTCGGAGAGACAGACACAGTCAGATGTGTCTATGGTATTGCCTAGAACGCTGTCACTACTGAGAAGGGACGAGGGCGCACGCATGTGGTTACTGAGTGGGGGCAGGGGGGCACCAAGGCTTTCTCAAGATTTACCTGATGTGAGCGAATTGCCAACGTGGAGTGTGGGGTAAAGAAAAAGGTAGGATCAGAAAACAACTGGAAATAATTTACGCTTCTTACAAAATATCTCTGCTTCGGGTGGGTGTACAAAATGGTTTCCTGATGATCGGGATCTGTGTGGCCAGGCCGCGTGGCTCCTGATCTCTCCAGGCTGGCAAGTCCCAGCCCACGGCAGTTCAGGAGCTGGCTCACCACGGGGAAGCCACCGCCTCGGCCAGGCCAGGTGGAGAGCGGCCAGCGCCTGGGTTTGGAAGGAGCCCCTCCCTGCGGCTGGCCTCAGACCCCAGTCTGTGCCGACTGGGATTTCAGGGTGCGCCACGGGAATCCCCAGGCCCCTGAGGTTGTGGACAAGGCTGGGCTGTGCCCCTTTAAGGAACTTTGGTTCGATGAGTCAAGATGCCCAGTGGGACGCTTGGGAGGGTGGGACCCTGTGGGTCGTGATGCCACTGCCCAGCTACAGACCTGGCGACTCTTCTGCACAGGATCAGTCCTTAAAGGACGCCTGAGGTGGTGGAGAGGCATGGCTAAGTCAGACCGCGACCTCACAGTTGCCCCCTATCCCAGCGGGAGCAGGTGTGTCTGGCACAGAAACCACAGGCCTCGGCAGGTGAAAGCCAGACCCAAATGAGAGGAAGAAAAACAACTACAACAACAAAATCCCCGGAAGCCCTGGAGCGCCCTGGGGGGAAACATAAGAGGGAAACACTGTATCATTGGTTCACCAAAACTGGCCTAGCAAACATGAGCCACAGTGAGTGGGGGTCCTTCCCAGCTCTCCCACTGGGCTGGGGCTGGCAGGGTAGGGACAGGAGCCCCCATCCACTATCTCCAGGGCACAGAACGAGCCTTCGTCTCTCTGTCCCATCGAAACCAGCAGCCTTCCCAGGGGCCCTCCTTCAGACACATCCAGACAAGAGGCTGTCAAGCTCCCCAGGCCTGGGAAAAGCCCGAGCTCGGTGCAGCCTACGAGGCCAGCAGGCTGCCAGCCGTGCCCTTCGAGAACAGCACGGGTATGACAAGGTCAGGGGGTGTCCCTGCTGGGCCTCACGGGCCTCCCTTCTCCATCCACATACAGGCTTCTCTGCGAGCCTTCCTGGTGACCCCGTGGCCCCAGAGAGCATGTGTTGCATCCCTGACGTCTCTCCAGGTGCCCACCCTGCCAGGAGCCCACCCCAAGTCCAGTGACAGGTGGCCTCACTCACCAACAGGGGACTCCTAAAGGCAGAGGTTCAGCTTCACAGTGGAAAACGACTTGCAGAATTCTTCCCTGGTGTTTCATCAAAGTGCAAGAGATACAGGGTCGAACTCAAAGAGGGGATGCTGGACCAGCCCACGCAGCTGGTGTCCAACTCCTTCCTAGGGTCCCGGAGACCTGCAACTTCTCATCTGTGCCACTGGACCACCCTTCTTGCCAGGAATCCTCGATGTCCTTTCCCCAGCCCAGTGTGAAGGTACCCAGCAGATGGGATGGTGGCACTGTTGTTTCCTAGCTTCTGCGTGGCTCTGGAGGGTGGCCCGGCAGTTCAACCTCGGCACCAGCCACAGGAGGACCAGGCTGGGACGGGTGCATCCACCCATGACCGGGATGGCAGCACAGCTCCTGGTGGGCCCGAGACCGCCCCAGTCTACTCCAATCTGAGACCACAATGCTGGGGTCCTTCACTTGGGCTGTGTTGGTGACAATGTGACTTCAGATGAGGGGGAAAACCCTGCTAAGTGGAGGTGTATTCTCTCCACCTCCCCTCTTGGGGCCATGGACGTCCAAACAGAGGCCATTTCTGTCCTGGGAATCACATGGCTCGTGGCAAGCTGGATCCAAGCCAGCAGGCCACCATCTTGACAGAAAAGGCCCAGCTTCCCGGTTCCCCAGCCCTCAAAGGCCTGTGGTGGAAAGACCTGCAGTGGTCACCGAATCAGGAGGCAGATGACTCTCTGACGGTCAGGGCCAGGCCAGGCACCAGGAGATGAACTGGGAGCGCCTGCCCGGATCCTTTGGCTGAGCTAGAATTTGGTAAGGTGGATATTGCTGGAGACATGGGGCCAGCGGTTGAGCCTGTGAGATCTTTGGGTTTTGTTAAGCTGTCTGCTGCAGCAGGACTGGGGACAGGAGTCCCTGGGGAACCAGAGCTGGCAAGAGAGTAACGACCACCTACCACTTTGCTATCCATGTGGATGAGGCAGCCGCAGGAGACAGCTTGGTGCGGACACAGTGGCTTTCACATCAGACCTGCAGAGGCCAGCTAAGCCCCAAGCACTGAACTGAGGTGCAAAAGAACCAGAGAGAAGGTGACAGGTGACAGCCTGTGGCCAGATACCTTGAGTTTAGACTTTCTCTGATGTGGAGTGTTCTAATTGCACACTTGGGCTTGCTAGAAGCTTTCCAAGAGAGCGAAATGCTTACTTTCAAATTCAGTGGCCCCCAAACAGGGCCACCAGCACAGTTCTGCTCCAAGGCTGCTCTCACTGACCACACAAAGCAGGCAGCTCGGGTGTGGTGAGGAGTGCCAGGCTGTGGCCCCAGCCACATCTGTCAAGCACAGCTGTAGACGCCTGTCTATCAGCAGCAGCCGAGAGCTCCCCTTCTGGAAAGCCCAGAAGGTCAAGAGCCTGCTGCTGTTTCCACTCCAGGAAGTGACCTTAGCTCCTGTCTGGACCTCCCTGTTCTTGTTCCACTGAGGCTCTCCTGTTGACAGGATCCGAGCTGCAGATGTGGAGGAAATCATGAGAACTTCTCCAGGAGGAGAGATGGCAGAGTGGCTCCTGAGACCGGGGCTCGCTGGAGCGAATGTGGAAATGGCCCGCTTGTATTCATTCCAGAATGTCCCAGACGCCGCAGGGAGGGCTGGGCCAGTTCTCATGAGCCAAAGTGCACAGGCTCGGCCCCCAAAGACGTTGATCTGGGCCCTCAGTCATGACCAACTTCACTCCCTTCCTGCCGGGGACAAGGGACAGGGCTGTAGTACAGTGCTTTTGTAGTCGAGGTATCTCGCAGTTGAGTAATGCTTCATTACTGGGAGGGGGAGTCACGCAGCCACCCCCAGGAAGGGAGACGGTTCCTTTGCCAGTAGCCCCCACAAAGGTGGTCATTCTCTGCCTTAAGTGTGACCATCGCTGCCCCACAGCCATGATCACTGAAGGGACGTGGGACCATCAGCTCTACTGAGGTGGGGCGGGTGGGGGTTGAGAGCTGATCTTCCTCTGTGTCACTCTCAGCATCTGGACTGCGGAGAACACAACTGCTCATGGCTGAGGGCTGGCAGAGAGGCCTAAAGACCCTTTCACAGCATCAAGTCCACTGCATCCACCCACAAGGCACCACGCTCAACTACTGTCCTGGGTAGAGGGCTGAAGTGCCTTTGGGGTCCCAGGAGGGCTGTGGACCCCCTAGAACCCCGAAATAGTAGGAGAGGCTGTGGGTCTGGGGTGTGGTGGACGCGAACATGGATCAAGGCAGAAGTCCCTGTTGAGCTGGAAGGGTTAGGCCCTGGTGGGGAGCGCAGAGCACTCTGGGTACGGAAGTCAGAACTCGCGGTACCAGGCGCAGCGAAGCAGGGGGGCGGCTCTTCCGCTTATGTTCAGAACCCCTAAGCCAGGTGCTGCCCCCTATGGCTTCCACCAGACCCCGCGCCTGAGGTTCCCGCGACCCCGCCCCCACCCCTGGTCCGCAGACAGCTCAGCCAAGACCTTGCTCTTGACCTTGCTGCCAACAGGTGAAAACTGGTTGCAGGGGGAAGGCAGAAAAAAACCTTAGGGTACTGAATGTACCTCTGAGATGAGCTAGTTTACAGTGTGACTCGAGGAACGAAAAGGGCGAAACTCGGAAACATAAGTTAGACATTCAGTGCCTCCTAGCAGAGTCTAAATCAAATCGGAAGAAACAAAACAAACCCCCCAAAGAGGAGAAAACTGCTAAAATGTTAGGGAAAAAAAAACGACGTTGAGTGGAGACAGTTAGCTATACTTCTCTGAAAAATGTCTTTTTTTCCCTCTCTTATATTAAAAAGCAAAACGTCAGCTTTATATTCTTAAAGTCTCCTTTTCCTGATTTAGGGAGATAGATAGGTGTGTTTCTAAGGCGGCTGCCTGGAGACACCCCAGGGGGCTCCCCAGGCAGCAGCTCAATGCCCTGAAGGTGAACGAGAAACAAAGTCCAGTGCAGAAACTGTCCATCTGATGCAGTTTGGAGAATCCGTGGCAGAGCAGCTGGGCGGGGTGGGGGCGGGTGGGGCTGGAGGGCTGGGTGTGGGCAGGCCAGGACAGGGAGCATCAAGTCATTCAGATCTCAGCTGCCTGAACATTTCACAACGTCAGCTTCTCCTGATCTGCACACCTGAAAATGGAGTCTTTAGAGCCCCTTCCCGAGAAAAGGTGAAACTTCTCCCTCTTTCCCAGTCACTTGGCTTTCCTGACACACCCAGTCAATGCACACACACCCGCAGGCAGGTGCATGCACATGCACCAGGATTGTATGTGTGTGCACGCGTGTGCAAAGCTTCTCTGGATGTGCAGATGAGCACAAGGCCCCCCACACCCCGGGCACGTGTGTTTGGACACACGCACACACGTGTGGATGTGGACACACATGCACACACACACACACTGGAAAAAAGCACTTAAGTTTCTAGGGGGCGTTTATAATGAGGTCCACAGTGTTTAGAACTTAAATTCCTTTTCTTTGTGACAGTGTTGTGTGTTTTTTCTAACGGTCATTTCTCTGTTTTCTTCTCTTTTTCTTTGTTTCGGAGTCTTAAAGCATGTTGGATTTCAGAAACATGAGTTTGTTCATGTCTTCCGGGCTGAGCAGCCGCCTCCTTTTGATCAGGAGGGCCTGCTCACACATATTTACACACCCACTTCTGGCCCCCACGGCTGGGACCGCCAGGAGCCAGAAGGCAAGCTTGGCGAGTTTTGTGTGCTTTTGGGTCACGCAAGACCAGTACTGGAAGAGGTCAGGGGTGGCCTGGAAGAGGGGCTCCTGCAGGTAGTCGTACACCTCGCTCTTCCCCAGCCGATCATCCTCCTGAGCTGTGGGGTGCTCGCCAGCTGCGGAGCGGGGCTTCTTGGCAGCGGGCTCGAAGTCGGCCTCCTCGGCCCAGGACCCCTTCACCTCGTTGATGAGCTCGCAGACCTTGCCGATGATCTCCTCGTGCTGGTAGGGCGGCACGGGCCGCAGCTTCTGCTGCGGGTCCAGGATCATGGCCACCTTGTGGGCCGGGTGCACTTTGAAGTTCTCCTTGAGCGCCTCCAGGAAGAGGTGGCACAGCTTGCTGACGGTGCCCGCGTCGTTGGCCTTGGCCGTGAACAGCTTCTCCAGCCTGACGTAGGTGGGCAGCACCAGCTGCAGGGTGGGCTGGCTCTCGTTGCTCAACTCGATCACCGCCTGCTTCACGGGCGTCAGGATGGCGGCCAGGTTGCTGAGCAGGTGCTTGTTGAGGCTCTGGATGAGGTTCATCTTCTTGGCCCGGCTGTAGAACTCGCAGATCTGCTCGTAGCGCTCGTGCACCAGAAGCAGCGAGTCCGTCACGGAGTTCCAGCAGGGCGGTGGCGAGGTCTCCTCCAGCGACCCGAAGGTCTCCTTGGCGAGGCCCGTAGAGCCCGCCAGGTCCTCGCACACGTTGAGCAGCTCGATGACCTCGTGCATGCTGCGGGCCTGCAGCGTCCGCTTGCTCAGCACGCTCTGCACCACTGAGTTCAAGGCACAGGCTGAGCAGCGGAGGCACATGCCGGCCTTGGAAAAGGCGGACGCGCTCACCCGGCAATCCGTCACGTACACTGTCCTGATCTCCGACATCACGAACTCCGAGAGTACGTTCTGTACCCAGTGGTGCACCAGGTCACCGCTGTCACGAATGTCTGCGCCCTTCACGCCCAGCACGTAGCTCTTGATGTGGTTGCCCTCGGCCTGGTAGGCTGTGAGGATGTAGCAGGAGTCGGGGCCCACGCTCTGAGAGTGGCAGGTGACACCGATGCCCAGGCAGGCATTGCTGCCCAAGGCGCATGTCACCTTGACCTTCACCTGGTTGTACATACGAGGCAGGTGCTTGAGGGCCAGTGTGTTGAAGTTGCCCAGAATCTCGGTGACCGAGAAGGCCCCATAGCGGGCGCCGCTGTCCACCAAGGTCTGGGCCAGCTTGAGGAACTCCTTCCCGCTGACCACACTCAGCGCGCCCAGGTCGGCGCACATGACTCGCAGCAGCCGCTCGGCGATGTTCTGCCGCTCCTTCTCCGGGATCATGCTGTTGGAGGTTAACCCACTGGTTGTGGCTGGCAAGGGACACAAAGAGAGCTGTGATTAATTCTGCATCAAGGTACTTGTCCTGGCAGCAGCATAATTCTCTAAACATCTAGGACAGGATGACAAATAGAGTTCATCTCACATGGACACTGGGGGCACAGGCTACTTCTAACGTGATGGTCTCACAGGAATAAAGTTCCACAATTGATTAGTAATGTCTGCCATGGGCGTGGAAATAGTGGTATATGTGCAACATACTTGCCCTGTGTGTCATTCAACCAGACCGTTGAAGACAACTAACCTCACCCTCAACGTAGGAATCAATGAAAACCAGGGACCTTTAGTGAATAAAATAGACGGAGCCAGTGGCAGGAAGGAACAGCCAACAGAAATGGCAGGTGGTGGCTCCTAAATCTGGCACTTGCTGGTGCTCTCTGACCACAACACAATCACCTCCTCTCCCAGGGCCTCCTGTCCTGAGTTAAGGATTCCTAGCATGAGGTGCAAGTGTGTTCTGGAAGCCTCAGGCCTCCTCCTGCATCACCACAGGAGGCACAGGGGGCTGTCGGAGCAGGGGAATGGCTGGAGCGGGGCTGGCGGGCCTGGGCGGGGCTCCTGCCCTGTGGAGGAGACCTACTGTTATTGGCGCTGTTCCTCTGGGCCTGGGGCTTCCACTTCTCTTCCACTACAGCAGGTGGAGACCGGGACTGGTTGGAGGCGATGTTGTTTTCGTTGTCAGCTGTGGGCACAAGGGGACAGGGTGTTGCCTTGAAGGGCAAGAGGCTGGCCTTTACAGACAAGGCAAGACTGTGTGGTAGGTGAACCACATGAGGACTCAGGCCAGTCAACCTGGCTTCTCCGCAGACAGCTCCTCTCCCACTTCACTAAAGGATACATTTTTTGGTGTTTTCAATATGATTTTTTTAGCAGGGGAGCAGTACTCGGGATGGAACCCAGGGCCTCCCACAGTCCAGGCAAGTCATCTACTGGCCCTTTTCTATTTTGAGACAGGGTCTCATTAAGTTGCCTAGACTAGCCTTGAACTTGTGATCCTCCTGCCTCAGCCTCCCAGGTAGCTGATATGTGTGTGTCACCACACTCTGCCATATTTATTAGCAGTTTCATTAAATAAATGAAACAACACCAAAGCCCTACTTACATGACACAAAGTACAAAGTTCTGAGGTCCGTATGTAAAAAAGGTTTGCACAAGATGACAGGCAGGTGGGAAAAAGACTTCAGTGCAAGAGGAACTGGGCAGGGTCCCCATCTTACCCAGGGAACTAAATGTGCCACAGACTGAAGGCTGGTCCCTGCTTGCCATATTGTCTTGAGAACAAGCCTCAGAAGTATAAAGGTGATCCTAATGACTAGACTGCAGACAGACAAATCCAACCCTCTTTCAAGAAATACACTGAATCTGCCACTGAGTAGGCAGGGGCAGGAGGATGTCAAATTCAAGGCCAGCCTGAGCAGCTTAGTGAGATCCTGTCTCAAAATACATAAAAAGGGCTCCGGGTATAGCTCAGCGGTAGAGCACCTCCCTAGCATAAGTAAGGCCCTCAGTTCAATCCTCAGTGCCACAATATATAAATAAACAGATAAAAACCAATGACGTCCCAACAATGTAAAAGGCACAATACCAAGTATCCAGTAAGTAGTAGATGGGTACAACTAACTAGGAGAAAAACCAGGCAACAGAAACAGACCAGAGACGACGGAGCAGCCAGTGAAGTCCTCAGAGACAGCAGCTGTCCGTGTGCATGCGCTCAGAGGCACAAGGAGAAACACAAACATGAGGGGGGAGTGGAAAATGGGAAAATGCTCATGTGAAAATGACGGCACATGAGGTGAAAGGAGATCAGACGCCATCAGAGAAGAGATCGTGAACATGAAGACAAAACCAGGCTCATCCTGAACACCAGAGGTCAAGGGCTGGCAGAAACAAACGGAGCCAGAGCAGAATCAGGCCGTTCAATACCCACACACATAGACAGAAACGGGGGTCCCAGGAAAAGGGACTGGAGGGGCCCAAAACTCTCAAGTCAAAATTCTTCCAAAATAGGTGAAGACAACAAATTTTGATTCAAAAAGCTCGATTATGTCCAATGAGGAATAAACATTAAAAACAACAACAACAACAACAACGAACGCACATCATCCCATCATGATCAAGTTGTTGAAAACCAACGAAGAGAAAAAGATCTTGAAAGCAGCTATGGGGGGTGGGGTGGGGATCACGTACAGATGAGCACAAGCAGAACGGCAGCAGACTTGTCCCCAAGAACTGCACAGCCCAAGGCAAGAGAAGGACATGCTATAAGAAAAGGGCCACTGTGCGTCCTGGGTCCAGAGAGTGAAGGACAAACGAGGAACAAGTTAAAGTGAAATAACAGACTTTTAAGACAGAGACAAAAACCAGACTTCATTAGAAGAAATACAGGAAGTTCATCCGAGCTAAGAAAGAGAGGGACACTAAGAATCTGAAGGACGGCTGGGCACTGCGCCTGTGGGTAAGTACAAAACCTCTCCGCATTGTAAAGACCTTCAGAGGGGACTGACTGCCCACTGGAAAACAGTGACCACGAACTGAGGAGATCACAGGTAAGGGCACACCGTGGAACAGGGCAGGACAGGTCGGGGAAACAGAAGGTACCCCTGGAAGGTTCTAGCAACACGGAGAGAGACTGTGGGCAATTCAGCATAGATAGTTTAAGCCCAAATAAAACCATAAAAGCAGAGATTATAGTTAATAAGTCAATTGTGCAGATAAAAAAATGGAATCAAAAAATTCTCAGCCCAAAGTAAGGTAGGAAAATTAGAGAAAAAAGGAACAGAGAACAAACCAGATGAACAGTGAATCAGGAGAAGGACGGCAGATCTGTACCCAACAGGACTGAAATTACACTAAGTGCGAATGTCTCAAAATCCCAAAGAAAACTCAAGGGGTTCTTTAAAAAAACAAGGCTTGACAATACATTATCTCTAAGAAACCTCATTAAATATAAAGAGGAAGCAGTTCAAAGTAAAAGACTAAATAAAAACACCATATGAACAGGGGCAAAAGGAGAGCGGAGGGGTGGGCTATGTTACAGGAGACCAGAGCTCAGAGAATAACAGCAATAACAGGACCAGCAATAATAGGAGGCCCAGCATGATGACAAAGAGGCCAAATTTCCAAGAGTACACAGTCATTGTGAATGTGTACGCAAAAGGTATCAGAGCTTTCAAACTCATAAAGCAAAAATCCAGAGAAACGAAAAACCAGACAAATGCACAATCATAACTAGAAAGTCAGCTCTTCTCTTAGTTCCTGGAAGACTAAACATTAAGAATCTAGCGGACTACGTCAAACAACCTGATGTACATGTAACTGGATTCCCAGAAAAGGGAGTGGGGCAAAAATACAAAATCATATCAAGTTTGGTTTCTGGCTTTGGTATAACAAATTAGAAGCCAATAATAAAAAGATATTTAGAAAAATTACAACTATTGGAATATTAAACATCATCCATTTAAATAACTCATGGGTCACAAGAAAAAAAAAACAAATGAAATTAGGAAAATGTTTTCAACTTAATGAACATAACAAACATTTCAAAATGTGTGTGATTTGTCTATAAACAGGGTTTATCGGTAGCATTCAATACTGAAAAAGAAGTTAGGTTCAAAATCAGTGTTACAAGCTTCCACTTTAAGAGCTAGCTGGTCATGCACACCTGTGGTCCCGAGCAACTTGGGAGGCACAGAGGCCATGAATTTGAGGCCAGCCTGGATAATATAGTAAGACTCCATCTCAAAATAAAGGAAAAAAAGTAGTTTTATCCCTTCCTCACACCATATGCAAAAATCAACTCAACATGGAGTACAGGAGACAGCACAGGAGTCGAGCCTTTGTGATCTGGGGTTAGGCAATGGTTTGTTAGGTATAACAAAAGCACAGATGATGAGAAAAACAGGTAAATAGGCTTCAACAAACTAAAAAAAAATTGTATTTCAAAGGACAGCATCAAGAAAGCAAAAGGACAACCTACAAAATAGGAAAAACAATTTATTTGCAAATCCTCTATCTGTAGGGGTGCTCTAAATGTACAAAGAACTTGCACAACTAAATAACAAAATGAAAAACACTGAAAAAATTGACAAAAGATCTGAGTAGATATCTCTTCCCCATAAGACATACAAATGGCCCAAAAGCCCATAAACAACAACAACAAAAAGATGCTCAACGCCATTAGCCGCCAGTGAAACGCAAATCAAACCCACAATGAAATCCAGTTTCCCTTGCATTAGGATGGCTCTAGTCAAAAAGCAAGGTAACGAAAGTGTCGCGAGAGTTGAGGAACAAGACCCTCACGCACTGTTGGCAGGAATGGAAACATGCTGCAGCCACTGCAGGAAGCTGTTTGGAGAGTCCTCAAACCGTTAAACACAGCACAGGACCCAGGTCTCCACTCCTCAGTAGACACTCGAGAGTTACAACAGACACCTACACAAGGGCTCCTGCACAGCACAAGCTCACAGCAGCTTTATCTGCAATAGCCCCAAACTGGAGACCTACATGTCCATCAACGGTGAATGGATAAAGAACTTGTGACACATTGAAACCATGGAAGACTATTCACCAATTCAAAGTGATTACTGTCACCGAGCAGGAAACCTCCATATGTAAAATGCCAGGAAAGGACGAACAATAGTGAAAGCGTAGTTAGTTCTGGGTTCCATTGCCAGGGTGCGGGGGAAACAGGGAACTTTCTGGGTTGATGGTATTGTCATATATTTTGATGGTGATGGTGGCTGAACAGTGTATACAGTTGTCAAAACCCATTGAATCGTACTCTTAAAAAAAGTGGTCCATTTCATTTATGTAAATTGCCTCAGGAAATCTGATTTTAATTTAAAATAGTGTAAAGAAACCCATTAAGTTGGTAATAGTGGTTAGCTTTAAATAGAGAGACTATGGTTGATTCTTTATTTTCTAAATACCATGCATTTTCCTGGTGGAGGGAATGCATTGCTTTTGATGGACAGAGCTTCTGTTTACAAAGGGGAAATTAATGTCCCCATGGGAACCAGCAGCCTGTCTTGTTAACCTTCTCCCTGGAGCACAGGGATTGGAAAGCGCCGGATGTGAACCCAACTCTGCCACTGGACACTTCTCATTTCAACTCTCTGGGCCTCAGTTTCCCCTCCTCCATGCACAATGCTGGGGCTGGGTACCCTGCAGGGCTGATTCTCTCTGCCTTTACACAGGACGTAGAACTGACAACAATATCTAGTACTGGTCCATGTTTTGTAAATGTTTTCCTCCAGATCCCACAGACACTCCTTCTGATATAAATTAGGTCTGGTTCCAAGCTCTGAAGGGTGCGATTTATGGCTTGTACTGAAAATGAGATTCACTCCACGCAGCTACCTGGACGTGGCCCTGCCCCATGCGTTTCCGTGAGGGGCTGGGTGTGAAGGGGGAATAGTAGTTGTTTTCGGAGAGAACACTGCAGGAGGACCAAGCAGAACAGGCAGAACACGCCCACTCTGAAAATCCAAAACACTCCAAAACCTGAAAGGTTCTGAGCATGACGTCCCAAGTGGGAAATTCCACACCCGACCCCAGGTGATGGGTCGCAGGCCAAACGCAGTGTGTTAAGATAGGATAAGTCACCTTCAGCCTGTGTCTAAGGTATGTGTAAAGCCAAAGGGACCCTCAGGTTTCCACTCATCCTCAAGATAACTTCATCATGGACATGCAACTATTCCAAATTTCAAAATATCCCAAATCTGAAACACTTCTGGTCCCAAGCATTTCAATGAGAAAGACAGGCAACCTGTGCTTCTGACGGTGATGGAAAAACAGGCCCCGGCCGCTGCTGGGCTTGGGACGTGGAGCTCCGAGCACAGGCCTTTTCTGCAACCTGACGCAGCCCTGAGGAGGGTACGGATAAACTCATGCCACAGACAGGAAAACCAAGCCTGGAGAGGTAAAGCAGCTCAGAGGGATCACAAACCTGGCGCAGCCACCTCCCAACTTCATCGTTGCTGGCAAGGCCGTGGGCCTCCTCAGCCATGGTCCTCCTGAGTGGACTTCATTAAGGGGCTGGCAGGGAGGCCTGTGGCCACTGAACCTCCCCAGGGTGTGCTGGTGGCTGCAGGTAAGGAGGCTGGGCACTCGGGCTCTGGAGTTCATGTTCAGGTAGGGAGCCTGGTCTAGTCACCACAGTGATCTCATCACCTGGAGCAAGTCACAAACCACTCTGTGTGTGGGTCTCCTCTCTGTGAAGTGGGGTTAGTACGGGCACTGACTCGGGATCTTCTGAGAGGTAAGGTGAACGTGCACAGAACCCTGAGCACAAAGCCCGGCATCAAGCAGAAGCTCGAGTGATGTCAAGCCGACTCAGGGGCTGTGCGACTGGGGGCCAGTGATCACGTCCCCTGAGCCTCGTTCTTGGCCTGTGTAAATGGACCAACAACGTCAACCAGCTGATAAAAGCCCTACAGAAAGCCCCGAGTGCCACGCAGACACCCAGAGAGCGAGCGCTGAATGCCTGCTGTCGCCAGTATCATTACTGCCAGTACACACTCTGAGCTGTCGCCAGGGTGGACCGGCTTCCTACAGTAGGGAAAGGAAGTTTATTAGTGAGAATTAGCCCGTGCCATTCAGCAGCCTCTTAATGAGATTGGTGTTACTGGAGGCTGATCCTCTTTATCAGTGGCGCTGTGAACTGCGCAGCTCATGACGCTTAATTGCCCTCCCCGGAGCCAATCCTTTAATCCCGACTCAGCTGGCTGGGATTCAGCCGGGCTCTGCCTGGCTCGCTGGCCAGGCATTCTCTGGCAGCGCCGGACCAGAACAAAGCAACTGGAAACTCCTCGGAAACAAGCCGAGATGCCGGGAGAGGCGGGGCCACCGCCAGGCTCAGCCCCGATTTGCATTCTAATAGCCTCCCGTCCTCCAACTGCTGAGAGGTGGGGAAGCTCTGGCATAGACGCTTCCCTAATTAGAGCTCAGCTTCCAGAAGCAGGTCCAGAAGCTAGGAGGGGGTGGGTGGAGCATCCAGGGTTTTGAGGTGGAGGGTGGCCAAGGCCGGGTGGTACAGGGCGGTAGGCCTCGGGTCCAGGCACGTTCAGGTTCAGGTGGTCCCCACAGACTGCCAATCATCACTAGCTCAGGGATGCTGGTTGCCCTGGGGCAAGTCTAAGTGCCTTGAGGTGTCCAAGCCAGGAAAGGGAGGCTGAGGGCAAAGTCAGGAGGAAGGCCCGGGGACACAGGAAGGTGGTGTGAGCTGACAGCTGGGGACCTGGGGTCTGTGTACCCTCATTTTAGGGATGGGGACAGAGTTTCCTGCCTGAGGTCACACAGCATCAGGGCACATCCTTGCAGCAGAACTGGAACTCAAGTGTCCTGGCTGCCACTCAAGAGGTCTGACCTGATTTGAAAGAGCTCCTCAGAAATAATGGCCCAGCCCCAAGATCGTGCGGACCAGTGCCTGATATATGGCAGATCCCCAATAAATACGTGTGGGACGAAGACAAGTGGAGCTCACGGCAGAGCAGCGGCTACCCTAAGAGCCTTGTCCTGCCGTGTTCTGCGCTGGCTGAGCCCGGCATGGAGGATTATATGAAAGATCTATAACCTTCGAGGGGTACAAATGATAGCCACGACAATGACAGTAGCATCAACAGCAGCTGCCAATCAACCGAGCCACCCCGTGTGCAGGGTGCTTTCCACACATGGCTTCTAATGCCCCTGGAGGATTCCCCTGAGGCACAGAGAGACCCAAGCCAGCTGCCCCCTCCGGGATGTGCTTCCTCTTGCAACGTTGCCCGTCAGGCTGTCTAGGGGCGGTGGCTCTGAACTCGCTTTAGAGGTTCAGACTGGTCCTGGTTCAGGGGATGGTCTAGGAGTCTGCATGGAGCAGCCCTCCTGGTGACTCCCACATCTGCTTTTTTCCTGTACCCAGGATTAAACCTCGCATGCACTACCACAGACCTACATTCCCAGCCCTTTAAATTTTTTTTTTTTTTTTGTAATTTCAAGACACAGTCTTGCTAAATTGCCCAGGCTGGCCTCAAACTTGCCTCCTCCTGCCTCAGCCTCTTGAACAGCTGGGATTACAGGCAAGCACCACCAAGTCTGACTCTGAGTGCAACTGTTTTACAGGACACAGTGTTACAGTGCATGGGAGCATCCTAGACTGGCTGAAGCCCAGCCTGGGCGGGAGGCTCCTCACAGCCACCTCGGCCTCTGCTCGGCTGACCTCAGGCCACACTCAACTCTCACCTTTTCCTCAGCCTTCAGGATCAGCGCAGGGCCCAACCAGGAAGCCTTCTTTGACTCTGTACCCCTCCCCCAACGGTGCTCCCACAGGGCCTGTGCGGACCACCCTGTGTCATAAATAACTGGCTGATTAGGGCTCTCTGAGGGTGGCTTTCACATCCTGGGGGGGGGGGGCAGGAAAGTCCCTTTCCCAGGGACCTCAGTTCTCTCTTCCATTTGAGGATCTGAGGAGGGGGCAGGAGAGGAGCCAGGGTTGGCGGGGGGCCCTTACCTGCGTGGGACTGCATGTGCTCCAGCAGGTTGTTGTAGAACTGGAACTGGATCCCGCAGGCTCCGCAGGTGTAGGGCTCTGGGGGGAGACGGGGCAGCGTGAGGGGCAGCACACACCCGGGCACCTTCTGGGGGGACCCAAACATACGCTGGGTCTTTGTGCTCAGGGCTCCGGGCCCAGCCTGTCTGCTCCCCTGCACTAGGCTGGGGACACAGGGAGCAATGGAGAGAGGAAGACATGCAGCTGGAGATCACGGGATCTGGTGGAGTGCTATTTATTGAGCGCTTACTGCGTGCCAGGCACTGTTCTGGGCACTTGGGAGGGACTTGGGGAGGCCCCCATCCAGGGAGCAAGAATTCTCTGAGAACAGTGACTGGTGCCACAGCCCAGCCCTCTACCTGGGGACAACAGAAGTCACATTCACCAAGTGAACAAATGAGTGAATGAATGAATGTATGAACCAACAAAAAAACGGCAGCCGACACGTGCTCAGTGAGGAAGCAGGAGGCCAGGGTGGGGGTGGGACGAGGACAGGAGGAGGCAGCGGAAGGGAGCCAGGGCACCTGGGCCTGGACTGCCAGCTCTGTCCCCAGCACTCCAGGGAACTAAGGGGAAGGAGGAGAGGAAGGAAGTGGGAAAAGAACAGTGGAAGAGTGAGGCAGAGAGGGGAGGTGGCTGGCCAGCTCCAAGGAGGTGTCCAGAGGCTGCACTGATGGCCAGGAGGGGACGCCTGGCAGGGTTGAGGGGCAGAGGCAGGCTGCCTGGGGCCAGGGCTCTGCCCTGCCCTGTCCAAACTTGTCTACTGGCCCTGGGGCCTCCCACCTGCTGCTGCGCCTGCCCAGGAGGGTGGCCTAAGCCAGTCTCCAAAGCCCAGGTCAGGGGTGCAGGAGGCCAGCCGAGTCCTGCCCTACCTTGCCCCCTCCAGCCCCCCAACAGGATGGTCACTTACTCTGCAGGAGAGGGGAAGGATTGGGAATCAGGGGACTTGCAGTTTCTGCAAAAGAGAAACCGTTTAGCTGAGTCTCTCCCAGTCTGCGGTTCTGTGACCGCCATGACTTCTCTTTCTAACCTGTGAGCCGCATGGGGCTCCCAGGAGTGGGGAGCACCCATCAGCCAGGTGCACAATCTGGGGGGAAGCATGGGGTGGTGGTGGCATGGAGTGGGTCACACATTTCAGAGAGTGCAGGCTTCCCGTGGGTGCTGGGGCCTCCGGGCAGGGTGAGATCAGGCAGGGTCATCCCTCCAGGATTTTGTGAGGACACAGGAGTCCTAACAAGAGAACATCCACGTGGCCGTCCACCTGGGGCAGTGCCGGAAGGTGCTCCCGGGGTCTGTCGGCAGGATGGGGGAGTAGCAACAGTCTGCGGCCCATGGGGTTACGAGCAACTCTCCTGAGCTCAGTCTCCTCACTGAGCTCCCACGGGGATGTGGTAAGGATGGAAACGGGTGAGGCACATCACGCTCCGAACACACGCTAGGCACATAGTAAGCGCTCAATAAATGGTGGCTGCCGGCGGCAGCAGCCCATGACGGCATCATTCCCGACCGTGAAGTCAGCTCCAGGGCACGAGGGGCACAGGGGGTGCAGGGTGGCGTGGCTGGGAGCCCAGGGCACATCGGGAGACCTCTGTTCCAGTCCCATACTGCTACTTAGTCCTGCCTGGTGAGTCACCCCTCCACTCACAGGCTGCCCTGGAGAGGTGGTGTGCGTGACATCATCTAAAACCCCAGCCCCGTCCCTAGGCACTCAAGCTTCACTGGTTCACTAAAAAAACAAAGCAAACCAAAAACCCAACAACCAGGAAAAGCCCCACGTGCCTCAGTGCGTCACTGGCCGGGGCACTCACTGCGGCTCCGTCAGGTCACCACAGTGGGGAGAAACGGAGGCACTGGCTGAAGTCGCTAGTGGCCAGGCGGTGGAGCTGGCTCACTCCTGGGCCGGGGCTGCATCACCATCTGTGTCCCCAGCTACCGCACAGAGTCCTGTCCCCACAGGTGCCTCAGCCTAGGGAAGCCACAGTGGCGGGACGCCTGTTTCCTTAAGCCCTGGCTGTCCCTGCTGTGCCTTTCTGGGACAGAGGCTGCTTGTGACCACCTGTGGCCTGCCAGGCTGACCCCACAGCAGCCATGCTAGAGGCTGGGGTGCTCTGCCAGGGTCCTGCCCGAGGCAGTCAACAGGGGGCGCCAGACACCACCAGGAAACGGCAAAGAGCCTGTGCTGGAGGGGCTGGAAGGGAATCCTCCTTAGGACAGTGCCAGGTCCAAAGTGGGGGTGAAATCTGGGACCTCTGGCTTTCAGAGCCTTCTCTACTGTACCCCCTTTGCCTCTCTAGGAAGAAACCGGCTGCAACATTAGTGTTAAAAGCAGCAATGGCTCTCTCAGGCCATCTGGGCTGGTTGACAAGTTTTGGGAAGGGGGAGTTTCTCTCTCCACGGGGAGCAGACAAAGAAGAGCCACAGAAGGGTGGCCCTGGAAGAGAAGGCCCCTCCTGCTTCTGCCTGGCCCTGCTGTCCCTCCCCTTCCCAGCCCCAGCCTCCCCCGCTCCGAACCATCATGCACCAGGAAGACTCAGCCCATAAGGGCCTGTTGCTGGGATGGAGGTGGCTGTGGTGCCAGCCAGCACTGGTGTCACGGGCACACTCACCGCTGGAGTTCTGTGAACTGCTGTTGGTCTCTTCAAAGTGGTTTTGTGCTTTGCCTTCTACTCTCCGACTAAAGGCGCTTTCTGCTAGGAGAGGGACAGGACAGAAAACCATGGGGACAGTCAGCACGAGGTCTCCAGGGAGGGCAGGAGGAGGCCCCGGGGCTGGGTGAATGCCCAGGACTCTCTGCTGGGGGAACAGCACAGGGGGGCCCCAGGAAACCCTCCTGGCCATGCCCAGGAAGTCTAGGCACCGTGGGGGGTGAGCTGCCCAGGGACACAGATGGAATCCAGCCTGTGAGCAGATGGCACGTGGGCCTGGGTCTCCCATCTTTGGTTCCACATGTGTGACACCAATTCGTTTGAACCTGCCAACAGCCACTCCCTCAGCCAGACCCCACTCCACGGCCCCACGAAGGAGCAGGGAGGACGGCGGCCTGTTTCCTGGGGGCGGCTCTGATACAGCAGGAGGTCAAGCAGCAGACTCCAGTTTCCCAAGCTGGTGGTCACCAGCGGCAGGCAGAGCATCCTGGGTCAGGGGGCATGGCCGGCACGGAAAGCGAGGGGTCAGTTCACCGAGGGGAGGGGACCAGGGCCCGGCCACCCTTGAGTGATTTCTGGCATCTCTGCCAGTGGGCTGCAGCTTGCTGAGTGGCCGGCCCTCTCTCTGGTTCTCTTTCAAAACCCCACGATGCAGAAACAGGGTGCAGGCAGGTGGAACACCCCAGGCCCCGCCCCGCCCCACCTGCAGAAGGCACCGAAACAGAGAATCTGCGGTGGAAGAGAACCTGCTTTCCAAGACACTCTTGGCACCACAGGGACACCGCTACTCCAAGAGCTGAAGGCCTCAGGGCACACGTCAACTGGGATGTCAGCCCACCCTGTCCCCTTCGTAAGGAGAAAGAACTTGCAAGAGGACAGCCAAGGCTTGAAGTCCTCCCAGAATGAGACTGTTCGCCTTTACTTAACTCAGCTCCTACGGAACATCAGGGGTCCGTGGAACCCCATTTTAAACATACTAGATTCTGTAGTAGCCCACCAAAGTGGGGACCTAAGAACCCATTTTGGGAAATGCCAGTCTTATCCTGTCCACCCTACCCCAGAAGGGCAAGTGCTCAGCTGTGAGTGCCAGGGCTTCAATGACCATGGGGATGATGGGTGGGAAAGGAAGCCAGAGTAGCTCCACGGCCTGACACAGCTCTCCCCGCCCTCCCCCGTGACAAGGAGCCTCCCTCCTGGGGACAAGGCTCTTTTCAGAGGTGTCTGCAGACTGCCTGGGCCAAGCACCTCAGACAGCACCTGCCAGCTGTCTGTAAGGAGGCCCTCCTAACTGAGCACCTACTCTGTGCAGGCCCTGGTGCAGACACTCCTCAGCTGTGGTCTCCCTTACTCCCCCCATAGTTCTGAGAGGCTGAGAAACACAGCAGAGAGAGAGAGGCTGTTGGTTTCAGGCCCAGGGTGCATTCCCAGCCCTCTAAGACAGCAGTGAGATGTCACCGGGGGAGTCCATGCCTCCATTTATGAAGCTCTGGAGTGAGGAAGCAATTGCCTTCTCCACCTTAACCCTTGTGTCCACAAGGGGACAGGTGCCCACCTCGTGGGAGTTTTGTTCTGACCAACATCTGTTTGGAACTCAGCACAACGGATGTTGCCAACTCTTGGGAGTCCCCTACTGCTCAACCAATTGTGCAAAATTTGCACTGCTTCATGTGCCTCTGACGGAAAGCCAGTGTGTGAGGCTCCAAGCCAAGTCCCAGGCACAGGCGTGTTCTCTCCCACACAAGAGCTCCACACTCCAGGAGGATGAGGGGGTGACCACGTCCAGCTCGCACCACCTCACAGGCCCTGCCAGTTCCTGCTCCCAACCTGGTGTCCTCTGGCCTGCCCAGCTGGGAAACCCAGGAATGATCCCATCAAGACTCTTCTAAGTCACAGAGGCAGTCCAGGCATGCCCCCGGCTTGCTGGACACTTGCTTCAAAACATGGAGGTTCAATAGCTGCCACATGCCACATGCCACATCAGCCCCTGTGGGCAGTGCTCTGCAGAAACTTGGGTGCAAAGTCCCAGCCACAAAGCTCTAGTGTCAGATGGAGACTGAAAGCCAAGATCCCATTATCCAGGTGAGTCCACCTCTACCGCCAATGATATCATCATGACCTGGCTGCTTCTAACTAATTTGTAACTACTGTAGCAAAAACACAACCGTCCCCAAAACCCACGGCCTTCGAGGTGACTGACTCCTCTCCTTTCGGGAGATGTAAGCACTGTAAACATCAACCACCACACGCTGCCCAGAGCAGCCTCTAGAACCTGAGCAGAGGCAAGCACGGCTCTCACCCAGCTGGGTCCTCGGCCACACAAACCAGTGGCTCATTCATCCGAGCACTCAGATCACCTGCATGCTTAGGGGCTGGCTCTGGCCTCAAGGGAACTGAAGGGCCAGAAGTCCCCGGAGCCCCACATGGCCACTCCACCCCAACTCCCACCAAGCCAGGCAGGCAGCCGAGGCTGGTCCTGTGCAGGTATGAATTCAAGCCTTCCCGGCAGGGGTGCTCGGCACGGGCAGTTCTTGTTTGTTTTCTAGATGGAATGACCGCTGGGGACTGTCTGCTGCCTGTTCACCCTTCTGGAGCCAGACGCCTTCTTGCATTGACCAGGAAAAGACTGGAGCTGGCGTCCCCCAGTGCCCTACCAGGCCTCTGTCTCATGCAAGGGTTTCATGGGGAGTTCCAGCTACGGGGCGGCCAGGAGGACGAAGCTCTCATCAGCCGCCTGCTTCAGGGACAGCAGCTCCACAGGGAAAGGACATCCTCAGACTGAGTTGTACGAGAAGCAGAGAGTGCAAGCTCATGCCAACAGGGTCCAGGCAGGTGACAGACATGAATGGGGCGGGATGAACACAGACAACAGAGTGGACACGATGAGAGATGACCCCTGCCTGGGGCTGTGGGGGTGGAGGCAGAGGGCGGGATGGCGGGCTGGAGCACACGTGTTCCCGGGCAAAGGAGACAGTCAATTGCTACCCTGCAGGAACGTGGGCCCAAGAGCCAGGCCTGACTTCTCAGTGTCAGTTAGAAATCAAAATTCTCCTCACGTTCAAATGCTGGCCACTAATAAGTTGTAGAAGCTTACACAGGCCGAATAAAACAGACCCCTGGGCCTTAATTTGGTAGAAAATACTCTATGACTTTAAAAGTTTGCAAATCGTCTTGTACAACCTTCTTATTTAGGGCAAGGGACCTGGCTCAGAGCGGTTAGGTGGCTTGCCATGGTCACAGAGCCAGCCCGCGGCAGAGCTGGGCCCCACGTTTGTCCCAGAGCATGATGGGACCTCTGTTCTTGCTCTTGCAGGGGAACAATGGCCCCAGACACGGCTGTGGCAGGTTGGGGGTGGAGGGAGTGTGGGGTGATGTGGCCACTGGTACCTGCGGTCGCCTTGCTTGCTGGAGATCCCGAATTTGGAGTGCGGAACGTCTGGGTTTGGGCTGCTGGAGGGGTGCGGTGCAAGAGGGTGGCACAGCGGACCACGGAGGCCGGAGCTTTTTTCCCCGACTGGTTCGTCTGGGTCTTCGCTGCCACGAAGCGTGGAGACGGGGTGACCTCTGGATGTGAACACTCAGAGCCCGTGTCTGGATCGTCCGGCGGCTCCCACCCAGGGGCGGCACCTGAGAGGGGCACGCTCTCAGTCCCCGGGGGCCCTCAGGCCACAGGCAGCCATGTGCCAGAGCTGGGACAGCTCTGCCCAGCTGACCCTGGTCTACTGAGAGCAAGGCTCTCACTCCCTGGGCCTAAGAAAGTCCAGGAGTCTAGAACCTTCCCTGGCTTCCTTGAGGAATACTGTCAGCTCACACTGTTACCTGGAGGCCACTGACCAGCCCCCTCAGAGATGACCTGTCCCCCTGCCAGCCCCGTCTTCGGGGCGTCTGAATTCATTACTATAGGTCCAAGCACATCTTCTAGAAGGTGGCTTCTAAGCCCCTTTTCCTGGAAAGGCAGGCGGGCTCAGAGGTAAGGACAGCTGGTAAGGACGTGCTGGGTGGATGGGAGGCTGGGGGCAGGTACAGGGAAAGGGCTCTGCAGTACCCAGTGGACCCCAACGGGAACTGCTGTTCTCGGGGACAGTGCTCAACCCAGTGCCTGACACCGTGGTGGGCCAAATGCAGCAGTCCCCTGAGGCTGTCTGGGGAAACGCCTGTCGCACTGCCCAGGGGCCTTGTCTCCCTCTCTTTTGAGTTTTCTGTAGAAGCCGGGGTCACGGGGAACCGGAGCTGACTCTGGAAATTTCTCCCTCTGGCGGTCGTGTCCACAGTGGTGGGCGGAGCATCACCAGTGGCTCAGCCCCCAGACCTGGCCCACTCCCACGGAAACTAAGAGTGGGCAGGTCTTCTCCCTTAAGAGGTCATGCAAACTCTGCAATGCCCTTCCCTGAAGGCAGGAAGAGGAAGAGGCAAAGGAGAGGGATGCTGGGGTGCTCGCCAGGGGGCCCCAGGACCAGCAGAGCTTGGCATTCCCACGCCTGGCTCCAGCACTGCCTGGGGAGAACCTGGCTTCACTTCCTGCCTCTGGGGGTAGGCATAAGCCTTGTTCCGCCCAGCTCCTAGGACGGTGCCCAGCCGGGTCTCAGAGACTCCGCCCACTGTTTCAGAGCCCAGGATGGAAGGCCGTGACCAGATGGAAAGCTCAGGACAGAGCGGCAGGATGCAGGGCCTTGCCCAAGGCCACGCAGGAAGTGAGCAGTAGGAACCGGGGCACCAGGACCTGGTGTTCCCTACCTGGGGCACAGAGGGGCTCAGTGCACACCTCTACCACGGAGGCCAGAGGCCACGAGTGGGAGTTCTCAGTTGGGGCCCCTTAAGGAAGTCCCACCAGCCCCAGAAAGAAATCCCAAGGCCACTTGGGCTTCCACTCTCTGGACTTTGACTTAGGAACCACAGATACTTCCACACATTCCCTCTGGCTGAGGCCCAGGACCTCAGTGACCCCCAAGTTCAGCTGCAAGTACAAGGACGGTTCTTCCAATAGCATGCCCCCCCGCCTGAGGCCACAGAGTGAACCTGCACAGTCCAGCCCATGCTGCTGCCCAGAGCCCACCTCTGGTTTCTCCACTGTCTCCCTGTGTGAGTGTGGGCACCAGGGCAGGAGGCTGTCACGGGACCCGCGCTGAGACTGGAGTGAGTGAGGCCAGTCACCTCTGAATGCTACCTCTGTCCCTTTTGGCTTCCGGGTCCTGGCCTCTGTACCACCCTCTCCTGGCCTCAGTTTTCCCTGCCTCACCCCACTGCTGAGAGGGACGGCCCCTCTGGATGAGAGCCCGCAGGGATTCCATGAGAGACTCCAGAAAGCCACGGGGGCACCTGGATGGCCACTGCCAGGAGCGACTGCTGGTGTTTCTTAGAAACCAGGAAACAAGGCCCAGACAGGCTGTGAGGTTTCCCATGGCCACGCAGGAGGTCAGTGTGGACAGGACAGGAGCACCGTCTGCCAGCCACCCAGGGAGGCCGCTGCACAACGTTAGGGCCTCCGCCACCTCACCCAGGTGCCACCTCACACATTCCAGGGACTGGGGCATAGGGACAGAGAGCTGCGGACCTGGGCGGAGGGAGAGAGCTCCGAGCAAGCTGCTGTCCCTCTGCAGCCCTGCAGGACATTTTCCAGGATCCTCTCTAGACTGGCCTCTCTCATGGTTGATTTCTGCTGTAAAAACCTGGCACTCCCGGGGACAGCCCTGCTTTCTCTGCGGTAGGGGCCAAAGGGACACCATGTAGCCCCTGATCTAATGAAGCGGGCCTTCACCTATGTGCTGCCAGGACCTGCTGGCCTCTCCAGCGCTGGCCCAGGGCACTCACCTTCTCCAATACCCAGTCTCTTTCAAGTTCACATCATCCCCTCTGCCTGGGACATTCTTCCCTCAAATCCCTGACTGCTGCTCCCGTATGCTAACCTGAAACAGCTCTTCCTTAGGGAGTCCTCCCTGGTCCCTCCTCACCTGGCCACCTGTTAGCCCCCCAAGAACTGACCATCATTTACAATGACATGCTGTGTGACCATATTTCTTTCCCCATCAGCCTGCAAGCTTCCTGAGGGCAGGGGCGCTCCAGTTGCCACCCCTCACCCCATGCATGGAGTCCCCAGTCCTCCCCGACACACAGGTAGTGCTCAGCAGAAACCGCGGCCCCCATGACTGCCAGGAGAGCAGAACTCAGAACGCGGAAGCAGGGAGCATCAGAGAGGGGATGCCAACAAGGGGACAGTCAGGGCACGAAGCTATCTGACCCATCACAATCTCACTGGCCCCGAGGGTGTGAGGCCGGTGGGGCCACAGAAGCTCAGAGAGATCTGGGAACCACTTGAGAGCCACACAGGGCCAGGGCTGAGCCAGGATGAATTCCCCAGGCTCCCAACTCCAGTCACCAACAGTCTGCTCCATCCGTTGACCTTACGTGGAACGCTGGAATCCCTTCCTCAAATTGGCTGGCTTCCCTTGTCAGAAACACAGGAGCCATTCACATATTAGATACCTGAAGACACCAGCACCGGGCCTCTCCTTTGGAACACTGGGAATTTAACTGGGGCAAAAAAAATCACAGGGACACAGGGATTTGAGTGAAGTGACCAGATAACTAAGAGAGTAAGAGACCAGGGTCTCTGAGACCCCATAAGGGAGAGGAAGGTACTTCAAGGCTGATGGAGCCCTGGGCTCAGCATCTGGAGAAGGGAGTGGATGGGAGGCATGAGGTACGAGGAGCCGGCATGGGGACCCTTCCTCACTCGGGCCATGATGGAGTGCCTGGTGAGGACCAGCCCTCCTGCCATGTTCCTCTGTAAAGCTGGAATGGCGACAAAGACCCATGATGACAGGCCTTGATCCCAGGTGGTCAGAACTGTGACTCATCAGATGACAGGAGCCCCTGAGTCGTTCCGGACCTCTGCAGGGCAGAAACAAGTGTTTCCAGAGGAAGCACGCCATCCACTGAACTGCAGAGACAGCTATCAGGGTCGGACTTCTGAGGTGGCTGGAATTCACAGGGCAGAATAACAAAGAGAATTGTGCAAAGGAAAGAATTCCAGAAATGTGCAGAGGGCCCCCTGGATGTCTCTGGCTGAATCCACAACTGCATGTGTGCAGCTCTCTGCAAAGCTGAGCCCAAGACAGACAGCAGAGGGCTGCGACTGAGCCAAGATCAGGAGGTCACACAAGGCCGGGGCTGTCCCACCTGCCCGAGAGCAGCAACGTTGCTGAATGGGTCACACGTTCAACGGAGACCCAGCAAGGCCGTGTGCTAAAGGAGCTAGTGTAACCCTGGAATCAGAAGGTTCCAGACCGGCCCTCCCTGCCTGAAAACAAGCTTTTGAAGTATCCAGTCCACCTGTCAGTAAATAGCTGCTCGCCACTCACGCTCAGCACTTTCCAAAGGAAAACCCCAGATCCAGTCGCTCCACAAGGTAACATTCCAATGTGCAGAACAGAATGAGTATTCTCCTGGTGAGGCAGGAAACTGAGATTAGCAACCAAGAGGAAAACCAGTCAACTGCATCACAGAAATGAGAGGGATGATGGAATTAGGAGACAAGCACCCCAAACAGCTGTTATAAATATGCTCCAAGGTTTAAGGAGGGCTGGGCTTGCAGCTCAGGGGCACAGCATTTGCCTGGCAAGTGCAAGGACCTTGGTTCAATCCTCATTAATAGGGGAAAAAATACGTTTTAAAGGGGAACACAAATATAATGAAGATAAAAATAAAAGCTTTAAAAAAAGAACCAATGGAACTTACAGAGATTAGATGATGCAGAAGAAAAGATCAGTGAATTTGAAGACAGGGCAGCAGAATATACCCAACCAGAAGCATAAAATATATGCAATGGAAGTATTCTTTCAACAAAGCTGAAAGAATGAACAGCTTCAGTTGATCTGTACACATTATCAAATGTGCATCTATATGTAATTAAAGTCTCAATAGGAAGGAAAAATTACATAAAAATATCTAAAAATATACTGATTAAAAACTCCCCAAACTCTTATAAAAACATAAACTAACTGAAGAAGCTCAATAAATCTCAGATAGACAAAACTTTAACCTAGAATTCCATATCCAGAGGAAACATCCTTCAAAAGAGAGGATGAAATAAAAACATCTCAGTGGAGAGCACCTTTCATCAATAGACTTATAATATAAGAAATGTTAAAGGAAGTTCTTCAGGAACAGAAAAAAATGGTAATAAAAGGAATTCATATTTATACAAAGAAAGCACAGAAATGGCACATATGTGGGTAAACATAAAAGGCGTTTTTTCAATTCTTAACTACTTCAACAAATACTTAGCTGTTTAAAGCTAAAAGAGCAATTCTTAGACAATGATAAGAACAGCACAGACTAGGAAGGTAGCAATAAGAAGTATACTGTTGGGGCAGGAGATGTGGCTCAGTGACAGAGCATTTCGCTTAGCAGATGCAAGGTGCTGCGTTCAATCCCCAACACTGAAAAAAAAAAAAGTATATCATTTCAAGGCTTCTACACTGGATGTCATGTATTTGATATACATTCATGATCGACGATAATACATTAAAGATACATAATATAAACCACAGCGTGAAAAAGAATTACTAGTAGAAAGTAAAACAACAAACAACAACAAAAAAACCCCACATTGATTAATACTAAAGAAG